ACACCAAAAACCAAAATCGATTTTTTGGAAAACCAATTTTGCGTAAAAATTCCCGTTTTTCCTTAATTTTTATGTTGTTTTTCCCGGCGCTTGTGAAAACTACTGGTAAATTTATACTTTTGACCCCCCAAAGTACCAACTAGATTCACTTTCCTATCAGAAAAGCTACTGATGAAGAAAATCCAAGCACTTTTACTGTCCCAAAACGTGATAACAGACACAAAAAAAAAAAAAAACACACATCATTGTAAAATCAATACATTCATTGCTCCGCTCAGAATCTAAAAAAAGTTGGACTTTTGACAAAATTTATCAAAATCTCGAAAATTATCAATCGTTAGAATTAAAAAATTATAAAATGTTCAGTTTTTATAACTAAGAGTTGAAAATTTAAAACAAGGATTCTCTTAAATAATTCATACTGTAGCCAAAAAATCTAAAAAATATATGAACATTATAAACATTTAGTCAAAATTTCATGTACCTACGGTCATTTGTTTAAGAGTTGCACCAAAAACCAAAATCGAGTTTTTCGAAAACAGATTTTAGTGTAAAAATTCCAGTTTTTTCTTAATTGTTATTTTGTTTTTCACGTCGCTTTTGAAAACTACTGAGAAATTTTCACTCTTGTTCCCCTAAAGTACCAACTAGATTCACTTTCCTATCAGAAAAACTACTGTTGAAGAAAATCCAAGCACTTTAAATGTCCTAAAATGTGATGACAGACCCAAAAAAAAATTTTAAAAATTTAAAAAAAAAACACACATCATTGTAAAATCAATACATTCATCGTTTCACTCAGAATCTAAAATGAATATATTTTTATTAAAAATCATAGCAGTATAAGACTTAGTAGGTAGGTAGGTACCTATACGTTGTAACGTATATGATCGTATTCTATTACTTTTCAAATTTTCAATTATATAATTTATGTGACAAAATTGGTGATTACCAATCAAATATTGTGATAGGTAGTGGTATTATATTATTATAATGTATTTACATTTTTGTACTTTGGAGTTTGGACGAAATAAAATTATTTTAGTGACAAAAACGAATTTTCTTATTGTGAATTAATTATTGTTAAATTGTTATTTGTAAAATATATTTAGAAACAAACTAATTATTTAAAGTGTATATATAATTACATATACCTATCGATTTATTTTTTAATTAAGTGTGATGTGGATTCGGTGGCACGTGAATTCGTTTAAAACACTTAGAGATTACAAAAATGTTAGCACCCGAGAGATCAAAAAATCACCGCGATTGATCTATGCTATTGTATTTGTTCTCACTTCAATAATTACAAAAAAGTTATTTTTGAAAGAATAATATTCACATTGCTCTTAAACTTAATTCAATGATTTTTAAATAATACACACAGTTAGTAATTATAATTTGCAAGAATTTTCAATGCTATTTTTAAAATTTGCAATTAAAAATGATAGCAGGTATCTGAGATTTTTGCATAGCAGGGCCAACATCAAAAAGCTCTTCAATGTAAAATGTTCTTGAAATTCAGAAACTTGTTTTATACTTGAGCCGGTTAGATTGACTACGGAAATAGTATGGTTATTCATTCGGAGTTCCTTTAGTGTGTGGACTGCAGTTGCCACAGAAGTAACGAACATAACATGGTGAGTAACTGATATATTTATATAATATGCTAACAATAGTATGTGAAAATGTGTACCCAGCTGATTATGATATGTCTATAAGCCTTCTTCTCTATCATTAATACTAACTACTTTACAATATATGATACACCTTACAGTAATCGGGGAAGTATTATTGGTACACGAAATGGCACTTAAAATTTAAGAAAGTCAAGTCGATATTCCATAATATTTTATATAAACTTTTTAATACGAAATAAAAATTGTCTAAATATTATACATGTCTATTAATATTAAAATCCGTTTATGATCTATACTTACGTTTATAAAATTTGGAGGTAGATTTAGATTTAATTGTGATAAGGAAAAAAATATAATATGTGAAAATAATTTAGAATCATTGTATATAGATTTGGCGTCATTCTGTATAGTAAAGTTATACTCCGCACCATTATACACAAAATAGAATGCAGTTGTAACGTTGTCTGGGGAACGATCAGTTAAATTTAAGGTATCCAGAAAGAGTCAAAGCACCTTATAGTAAGTCTCTATTATTTTATATTAGCCTTAATAATCAACTCAATTATTTACTTTGCTTTGAATTTATACATATTTTAATCGTTACAACAATAAATATACTGGCTTTATACAAAAAAAAAAAAAAATAAATATTATTAACAATCGTTGTTAAAAAATATGATATTCAGTATAATAAAAATTAGTGTATTATTTATGGAAATTTAATTTAACAAAGCAAATGTGACGACATTTGTGGCATTTAATATCAATCTAATGAGCTCAAAAATCAGTAGCTAAAAAAAGACGTGTGAAGCCATGAAGGAGAAAAAACGTACCTGAGTGAAATGTGTGATATATCGTTAACAAGCCTTAGTTATCTGAGAGCGAACCAGAGGGTGTATTAGTGCAGAAAATTCGTACCAGTGTGCCGTGTGCGATATGTCATACACTGAAAATAACCAACTAACGAAGCACAGTAGGACACATACTCCAGAAAAACTGTACCAGTGTGAAGTGTACGATAAGTCATTTTCAGTTAGCAGCAGTCTAACCATGCACCGGAGGACACATACTGGAGAAAAACCCTACCAGTGTGACGTGTGCGATATGTCATTTTCAGTTAGCAGCAGTCTAACCATGCACCGGAGGACACATACTGGAGAAAAACCGTACCAGTGTGACGTATGCGATAAGTCATTTTCAGTTAGCAGCAATCTAACTATGCACCGGAGGACACATACTGGAGAAAAACCCTACCAGTGTGAAGTGTGTGATATGTCATTTTCAGTTAACAGCAGTCTAACCATGCACCGGAGGACACACACTGGAGAAAAACCCTACCAGTGTGAAGTGTGTGATAAGTCATTTTCAGTTAGCAGCAGTCTAACCATGCACCGGAGGACACATACTGGAGAAAAACCGTACCAGTGTGACGTATGCGATAAGTCATTCGGACAAAATAGCCAACTAACAAAGCACCGTAGGACCCATACTGGAGAAAAACCGTACCAGTGTGAAGTGTGCGATATGTCATTTTCAGTTAGCAGCAATCTAACCATGCACCGGAGGACACATACTGGAGAAAAACCGTACCAGTGTGACGTGTGCGATAAGTCATTCGGACAAAATAGCCAACTAACAAAGCACCGTAGGACACATACTGGAGAAAAACCCTACCAGTGTGACGTGTGCGATATATCATTTTCAGTAAGCAGCAGTCTAACTATGCACCGGAGGACACATACTGGAGAAAAACCGTACCAGTGTGACGTATGCGATAAGTCATTTTCAGTTAGCAGCAATCTAACTATGCACCGGAGGACACATACTGGAGAAAAACCCTACCAATGTGAAGTGTGTGATATGTCATTTTCAGTTAGCAGCAGTCTAACCATGCACCGGAGGACACATACTGGAGAAAAACCCTACCAGTGTGACGTGTGTGATAAGTCATTTTCAGTTAGCAGCAATCTAACTATGCACCGGAGGACACATACTGGAGAAAAACCCTACCAATGTGAAGTGTGTGATATGTCATTTTCAGTTAGCAGCAGTCTAACCATGCACCGGAGGACACATACTGGAGAAAAACCCTACCAGTGTGACGTGTGCAATATGTCATTTTCAGTTAGCAGCAATCTAACCATGCACCGGAGGACACATACTGGTGAATAACCGTACACTTTCTCAAGAAACAAAAAAGTATTTGATTAGTCATGACATTCGATGATGGAGTATATCACCAGGAGCTACCGTTTTCCACAGTCATTTATAATACAAGTTGGTTAGGAATGATATTTTGTGAGTACGACAACGTATTCCGATGATTTAATAATATAATATTATGCCAATAATTCTGAAAAATTAATATACTGCTTAGTTTGTTGTGTTATAATATAAGTTTCTGAGCGGATTGATGAATGTTTTGTTTTTTCAAATAATATGTGTGTTTTTAATTTAATAATTTTCTGGTATTTGTGATAACATTTTGGATCAGTAAAAATGCTTCGATCGAAAGATGGTTTTTTTTAGCAAATTGTTTTCACATGCTACTTAAAGACTTCAAAAGTAAAAATATAGGAGAACTCTCTGAATTGTATAGCATTATAGCTTATTGTAATAGATAGGTATGTTAAATTTGATTTCATTGATAAATCATTGAATCCCTACGAAAAACTATTCTGAGTTGTTGTAAAATCGATGTAGCAATCATTTTTAGAATATTATAATAATTAATAAACAGCCGTAAATTCTATCATCAAAAATAGCACAAGTAAGTAGAGTGTCATCAATATGAAGACACATAGATCAGCATAGTTGTCAAATTAAGGAGCTACTGAATACTTATAGGCATGTTAGAAAAACATATGATGCATTTCTTTTGGTCTGGCTGAGTTTTAAACAATTCTAGAAAAATAACCTAATGTGTGAATTTTTTTCCTATTACTTCAGTGTATCCGTAAGAATTATGTACTTTTTTATTTATAATCATTAGCTATTAAAATCATAGAGGTTAATTGTTATTTTAAATAATTACATAGTAATACAGTACGGTATGTTGAACTATTTTTTTCCAACTTTGATAATGTTTTGCTTTTGATTATAAATTATTATTATTATTTATTATTATTTATTATTTATTATAATCAACGCCAGACGGCTTTTACAAAATAACAGACAAGAAGAACATAGATAACAGTATGAAACATATACAATATATGTAAGATGCATAACTTATACTAACTTACTAATAGAGAGAAGAAAAATAATAATTAATAAGTAATTAAAACAAAAAAACAATGGGGTGTAAGTAATGTAATGTAAAAAAAAAAAAAAAATGTGAGCCTTCGTACTACATGTGGCTTAATAGTCTATATGATTATTTGCATTATGCATCATTCGTATAAGTGGGGCATTCCTGGAGAAGTTTGATTTATTGGTGGGTATATAAAAATTACATTGAAGCCTAGTGTTACTAGGAATACGAAAGCTAAGTTCTCCAAGTAGTCTTGGGGAATCAACTTGACCTTCGATCAGATGCTGAATAAAAGTGATATCAAAATTATCACGCCTTACAGAAAGGGGAACTAGTCTCAGAGCTTGACTTAATGGCCCATAATCATGTGGTGGATGAGGAATGTTGAGGCAATAACCGGCGAAACGCATAAAACTGTTTTGTACACGATCAATCCGACAAATGTCAACTGTGGTATATGGTGACCAAACAATAGACCCATATTCAATGACCGAACGGACTGCATTATAGAGAGCTAGAAGGCAATTGGCAGAACTAATTGGTTGAGTGACGCCTTATGAATCCCAAAGCACGAAAGGCTTTGCTGGTCATATAATTAATATGAGGGCTAAAATTAAGAGAATGTACAAATAAAATGCCTAAATCATGGACCTGGCTAACACGTTGAATAGATATACCATCAAGCCTATAGTCAAAAGATATCACTGCATTAGAGCGATAGAAAGTCATAACTTTACATTTAAAGATGTTAAGACATAAATTAAACGTACTACACCAATTGGTGAATTTATCAAGGGTGTTTTGGACAGTGAGGCAATCATTGTTTGAGGTAATCGTGTGAACAATTTTAGAATCATCAGCAAAAAGTAAGAAACGACAAGGGGAAACAACTGAAAATGTTGTGGAACACCGGACGATGCACGGAAGAGATCAGATGTCTTCCCGAAAAGGCTGACAAATCGTCGACGGTCACTAAGGTAAGATCTAAACTATGATAAAAGTGGCTCACCAACACCAAGTCTGTCGAGGATATAAAGAAGTGCATTGTGGTCTAAGGAGTCAAACGCTTTAGAAAAGTCCGTGTATATCACATCAACTTGATTACCTAATTCAAACGCCGCGTGAAGGTAAGAAGCGAAAACTACATGACTAGTCGCAGTCAGCAACCAGGAAAGAACCCATGTTGGTCAATCGATAAAGTGGTTAAGAAAGAACGTTCGATTCGTTTCAGTACTATAGACTCAAACAGTTTACCTAGTAGAGGAAGGCCGGAGATGGGTCGATAGTTAGCGACATCAGCCGGATTCCCAGATTTGAAAATTGGCGTAACACGACTTATTTTCCACGCAGAAGGGAAAACACCTTCTGTAAGTGATTTATTAAAAATTAAAGTGACCGGTAAACTGAGAGAGGCACGGCAGTGATACAATAGGTTAGCAGAAATGCCATCCGGGCCCGAACTATGAACATTTGAAAGAGAGTTAAGCGCTATATTAACTTCATCAATCGATATAGATAATTTAGAAGGAAGGTGTGAAAATTGGTTGTTTGTAAACTCATCTGATAAATTATTGCAGGTAAATCGTGAGTCACCATAAACAGATGAGAAATGAGAAGCAAACAAAGAAGCAACTTGGTCACTGGAGGCCTTAGACTCCCCAAGATGAACCTCATCTGGTATTGTAGAGACACCACGTTTACTACGAACAAATTTCCAAAATGATTTAGGATCTACACATAGACGATTCTGTATGTTACGCAAATAGTGACTATAGAGACACTTCGATTCAAATTTACATTGGGCGCGTAGTTGAAAGAAGATTAAATAAAGATTAAGACCACCTAACATTTTATATGGTTTATGCGATTGTTTCTTCATAGCGAGAAGTTTCTTAAGCTTACTTGAGACCCATATAGGAAAAGTAGAGTTTCGAAAGTTTCGTAATGGAACGCATTCATGAATACAATCAAGCAATGATTTCTGTAAAAAATCAGCAGAAAGGTCTGCGGATCTTGAATCTAAGGCGTTATACCAATCAATGCTCTCAAGTCTATGAATAATCGTCTCGTAGTTAGCATTTTTAAAATCATAATATGTGTGTTGAGCGTCCAGCATTGGAGGGTCTGAAGGAAAGGGACAGGAAATAGACAGTGCTGGGTGGTAAATGTCACATGGAACTAATAAATCTGTAGCCTGCTGGACTAAGGTGGATTCATTACTAGAGAAAATTAGGTCAAGAAGAGATCCAGAGTTATTGAGAATTTGGTTTTTCTGGACGAATTGAAGGAAACTAAACTGATCACCAACAAGACGGACCTTATCAGTTATATTACCTGTATAGACAAGACCCGAACCACAGACGGACCACTCAACATTGGGCATATTGAAGTCACCACATACCAAACCAAGATTAAAATTATAAGATCTCCATACCCGGTCTAAGGCTTCAACATGACTCTCATACACAGACAAATTTGTACCAGGAGGTAAATATACTCCAGCTAAAAATACAGAGAGACCACTGGCTAGAGTGAGGCGAACAAAAACTTGCTCACAAGTGTCAAATGCAGTCGTAATTAAGGTTGGTCTTAGCTCTTTCTTGACAGCAATTAATGAACCTCCTCCTCGACGACAATTACTTGTGCGTACATTCCTGTCACACCTAAAGATTAAATACCCATCAAAACATAATTCAGAATTAGAGATGTCATCCGAAAGCCAAGTCTCAGTGAGAATATAAGCATCATAAGATAATAAAATAAAATTAGTTCGGAGATTAAACAATTTACTACGAAGGCCACGTACATTTTGGTAGTAAATTTTAAAAAAATGATCAATATTAGGCATAACATTAAAATTATTAAACTTATGGTAGGGTATAGAAGAAAAGTTAGTTTTAATATTATTAAATTTAGATAAAAATGAGTTAAAGGTAGAATGAGAAAAACGGCAAAAGGTACAAAAAATATTATTTTTACAATAAACATGCAAACCAGAGTTGAAATCAGGAACTAATGAAAATGCTGAGTGGAACTCGGTTGATGATTGCTTCCTCCTCTGGGGTTCATGTTTTTTGGACCGGCTTTAATCACTGAAGGTACACCATTGACATATGAAATAGTAAAATCTCAAGAGCCACTTTCGATTTTACGTTGCAGATCGGAATGAGCTTTACGCAAAAGTTCCCGTCCAAGCGTGGTTTTGTCCCGAACAATGCGAAAACCAGGTTCTGGTAATGATCCATTCCGCGTTTGTGAATTAAAATTTAAAATAAGTTAAGAAGCATCGGCCTTGGATTGGCAGATTACCTTCAAAGATCTCGGTTTCTTCGCATTACTATTGCCTAGGCGTATTAGCTTAAGATTGGTTGGTACAGGTATAGTTATTTGTTCAAGAAGATTGCTAAGTGTACGTAGATCATCATTAACTCTTAAAGCAGCGGTGTTGGCATCAGTGGTGATGTGACTCAGGCACTCCATATGCAATTGCATTAAATACAATTTTGCTTCGTTCAGTAGATTCACGAAAAATCACTGATGACGAATCGATAGAGGGGACTGGACGTGATTCCAAAACATCAATTCTTGAACGGAGCACACCAATTTCAGCCCGGAAAGAAGCATTATCAGTAACCAGATCTGCTACTTGGGAAGTGAGTGTCGAAATGCTACTTTTAAGTTCACTAAACTGCGACGATTGCGAAGTAGAGAGCGATTCGATTGCCTTCAAAATTTAAGAAATTCAAGTCGATATTCCATAATATTTTATATAAACTTTTTAATACGGAATAAAAATTGTCTAAATATTATACATGTCTATTAATATTAAAATCCATTTATGATATATACTTACGTTTATAAAATTTGGAGGTAGATTTAGATTTAATTTTGATAAGGAAAAAAAATTAATATGTGAAAATAATTTAGAATCATAGTATCTAGATTTGGCGTCCTTCTGTATAGTTATACTCAGCACCATTATACACAAAATAGAATGCAGTTGTAGCGTGGTCGGAGGAACGATCAGTTAAAAATAAGGTATCCAGGAAGAGTCAAAGCACCTTATAGTAATTATCTATTATTTTATATTAGCCTTAATAATCAACTCAATTATTAACTTTGCTTTGAATGTATACATATTTTAATCCTTACAACTACAAATATACTGGCTTTATACAAATAAATGAAAAAAATAAAATATCGGTATTTAAATATTAGTTTTTCTCCACATTCCAGAGAAAAACCGTATCAGTGTGACGTGTGCTATAAGTCATTTTCAAATAGCAGCAATTTAACGGAGCACCGGAGGACACATACTTAAGAAAAACCGTACACACTCAACAAACAAAAAAGTATTTGATCAGTCATAACATCCGATGATGGAGTATATCACCAGGAGCTGCCGTTTTTCACAGTAATTTATAATATAAGTTGTTTAGGAATGACATTTTGTGAGTATGACAGCGTATTATGATGATTAGTTTTCTTGTATTTTTGATAACATTTTGGATCAGAAATATTGCTTTGATCTAAGGATGGTTTTAGGTAGCCTTAGTTTTTGGTAGATTTAGGTAATTATAGAATGGTAATAACCTATACAACTAAAAAAAACTATGCACAACCATAAAAATTGTAATTATACATTTTTTAAAAGTCAGAATGATTCAAGTTTGTGAAAGAAGCGGGTGTAAATAAGTTTATTCTCTGATTTTCTTTAAGTATTAATTGATTTCCGAGTTATTTTGTGAGAAATATAAATTGATTCCTAGCACACTTTATAATATTATATACTTTATCCCTGAACTGTAGTCTATTAGCGATACTCAGGAGACGCCACGAGCTGGTGGTTGGATGACAAGTCTTCCTACATTTTTTTTAATTAATCAATTTGGTAAATCAGTGTTTTTTAATTCTTTATACACCCATAAGTCATTATGACACTATTGAAATTAGGTTTAACCTTTTTGATTTAGCTACCCAAGGTTTTCAATCATCGTCAGTGTTTGCTTTTTTCATATACTAAGGGATTATTGATAGGATGCTAAACATTCGGTGGAATGTACGTTCGAGCATCATTTCCCTTATAAATACTTATTTTTACTAATTTTCCACTGATATATACAAATAAAAGGAAATCAACTCATACGTACCTCTTGATTGTCCTACAAAAATATATCGGTCTAGAATTATATGAACAGGTATCTGAGTTAATCAACTTGTACGCATCACCACCAAGTGACTTGTGTTCTGTGGCCCAATGGATCTTCAACCCTCAAGGTTAAGCGTATGGTACACGCACAATAGCTGTGTTTGAATCGGAAGGCAACGCGGAGGGACGGAGTATCCCTTTTTTTTAAAAATATTTTAGATCACCCTCTCTAATTATATCTAAATAAAAAAAAATGCTAATATTCGCAATTTTCTTTATATTTTACATCCCCATTCTATATTGTTTTCCAACTCGAGTCCTACGCTCGAGCATAGATTATTATGTGCGCATTTTTATTTTAGAGGCAGCTGTCTATATGTGGGTGGGAGTCTATGCAACAATATTATGTCTTGGCCGGACAGAGCTAACAATCAAAACGTCCGTAAATTATACATCGCCGGCATGCACACTGTGAAGTATAAATATATAATAGTTAGGTACCTACCTATATACAACGCAGTTAAAATATTATTATAATATTCCACAGGTGTGTATTATTATATTATTTTATATGACATGC